AATTAAGACAAAGGGGGCCCAGGGGGCTTTTCTTGAATCTGTATTTTCCAAGCAGGCACAATATTTTAAATTTCCAAGTTAAAAAGAATAGCAACATTTCTGAGATGCTTTTATTCTTAGTTTCCCTAAGGCAAAGTATTTTTTCTTCTATCAGAGAGCAGGGGAAGCCCCATGCGTGGCAGAGGGGGCACATCTGAAATCCCAGGGATCCGGAGACTAAAACAGTAGGATCACAAGTTCAAGGCCAGCTCAGCAATTTAAAGAGCTCCTCAACAATTCAGTGAGGCCCTGTCTCAAATTAAAAATGAAAAGGACTTGGAGGCTGGGATTGTGGCTCAGCGGTGGACTGCCCCCCTAGCAAGGGCAGGACCCCGGTTCAATCCTCCGCACCACATAAAAGTAAAGGCATTGTGTTGTGTCCATCTACACCTAAAAAATAATATTAAAAAAAATGAAAAGGACTTGGAATGTATCTCGGTGGTGAAGAGCCTCTGGGTTTAGTTCCCAGTATTAAAATAATAATAATAATAAAAAAGAAAGTCCGGGAAGAGGGGCTGGTTGAATTTTGGGTCCAGAAATAGCTAAAGCCCCAAGCCCATGCCCATCCTTGGCACTCCACTAAAAAAAAAAAAAAAAAAGTTGAGGATGGAAATAAATTTTCTTGAGAGCCTCCCAGTTGCCTGACTCAATACCAGACGTGCATACTCATGGATTCAGAATGATTCATCCTGTGAGCTCAGTATTAGAGCTCTACAGAGATGGGGAGACTGAGGCTCAGAGAAAAATAGTAAGAACGTTCTTTCACTCATCCTTTCAACGTTTCCTGAACATCTCCTACCCAGTGAAGCACCCCTAGGGACTAGGGTTACAGCAATGAACAAAAAGTCCCTAGTTCCATGGAGCTGATATTGTACCGGGAACAGACAGACAACAGGCATATAGACATGGAGCAAGTGGTGACGGAGGTGATGGAGGTGATGGAGGGGAAGGGGAGAGAGTGACAGGGCTTGCTATTTTAAACTGGGCAGTTGGTGTTAATATTTGAGCAGAAGCCAGAGTGGAAGGAGGCGGCAAGTGCATGGAGAAAAAGAAACCGAGCCTGGGGGACCAGCAAACAAAAGGACGAAGCGCGACTGGTGTGAGCAGCAGGACAGCTGCATGCCTGGAGCCAAGCGTAGGGGGGGAAATAGGAGATGGGGTTAGAGGGCAGAAAGGGGTTACATCGTAGGGATTTGTAAACCAGGGAGAGAACTTTGACTTTTACTCTAAGATGGAAGTCATGGGAGAATTTCATGCGAGCGAATAATATTGCTGTCAAGGAATCACTGATTTGTTTTCTAAAAGAATCCCCTTTTTTGTACTAATAATTATAATGGCCTGGGTTCAGTTCTCCCAGGTGCATGGGCTGCGTGAACTGGGATGTGGTATTATTCGTCTCTGAGCCTCAGTTTCCCTTACCATAACACGCAGGTGTAGAAATTGATGATCTCTAATGTCTCGATGCAATGGGACAAGCTGTCTATCATTCCCAGAAGTTAGCACAGTGCCTGGGAGTCAGTAGAAGCTCAATAAAGTTCACGAAGAGCTCTGAAATCCCCCCGCAGTTACACAACAGAACAGCAGGCGTCGCACTAGCCCCATAGCTGCCTGCATGGCGTCTCTGGGGTTGGGCTAAATCATGCTATGTCAGGAACTCACTCACTTTTCTGCAGAAGAATTGGGATTTTTTCCGGGAATAGAGCTTCTGGGCTCCGAATTTTGAGTTTGTTCTCTTTATAACACTGACTTTTCACTTTGGAAAAAGGAACTCCTGTCCCTTTAATAACTGGCTAGGTCCCGGGGAGCTGATTCCCAGGATGCAAGGCGCCATGTAAATTAGGCAGTTTCCATTATGAGTACTATTGATGCCATAACTGTAGAAAAAAACTTTTAAAAAGACCTCCACTGTGATAAACAGATCCACATAATTGATGGGTCTTGTAATTCATTGTCTACTCCATGGCGAATTAAATAACCATGACTCTAAAATGAAAATATTTTAGTACTTTATATAGTTTCGGGGGAGTAGAGATTCCCGCCCGGATGATCCTCAGTGGTCTGGGGTGCAGGCTTCAAACCTGTAGCTGTCTAGCGACAGAGTGGTTCAATTCCACCTTTCGGGCGTGTGGCCCTTACATCTCTTTTTCAATTCCTCCAAATTAATCTCCAGCAAGTATTTTATTCTAAAGGACTCTCCTTCTGCCAGCACCTAGATGTCGCTGCAGTTTTCTACTTCGCAATTTATTCTCTTTCCACCCGCGTCTCTCTGTTTACTTTTCCCCGGGAACATAAAACATGATTCTAGAAGATGAAGAACATTTCATCTACATAGTTCTAGAATATTTGCAATTTGGGATTTACTTTGTATTGTTCTTCACTGGCTCATTCATTTAGTCGTTTGCTCACTTATTTATTGAATCCTTCACGCACTTATTAGTCAAATGTTTACTCATTTGTTCGTTCTTTCACTCACTCATTCAAAAAGCTTTCCTTGAGTAGCTGCTTGGGTCCAGCCTTGTATCCGGGTGGTGCCGGGGACACGATGGTGATGACAACCCTAGCCCTGACTTCGTGGTGCAGCCAGTCCAGTGGGGGCAGACAAACATGAAGCAGTCACGTATTGTACAGGTAATGAACAACTGCAAAGGTGATAGCTAATGGCAAAGGTAGAGAAAGAGGGCATCTAACAGGGAGACCTCACCTGGTGAGGCGGCAGGGGAACATTCCAATAGATACGTGCAGGACGGGAGGGGTGAGCTACAGCATGGGAAGTGGTCTAGGTCAGGGATCAGGGTGGACCCAATAACGGCCTTGGGGGAATGGTAACAACTGTACCTTTATTATCACGTGGCATGCACAAGCTCCCTGACTGAGCAGGACAGCCCCATTCTGCAGATGAGGACATTAAGTCTCAGGCAGTTGAAGCATATTTTCCAAGGTCAGGTCACCACACCCAGCTTTGGTAGACCCTGGGCTATTTACTACTGCCCTGTGTTGTCCTTAGAAAGCAAGTCCCTCCACAAATCCTGCCTGTTCTGCCTTCTAAATGTCTCTTGAATGCTTCCTCTTCTCTCTATGCCACTGTCCTGGGTCTCTTCCAAGCCCTTCCTCACAGCCCTGGCCACCTCCTCCCCAGGCTTCCTCCTCTCTTCTAGCCAGTTTTTTTTTTTTTGTACCAGATGTTGAACCCCGGAGTGCTTAACCCCTCAGCCCTATCCCCCAACCCCCCCCCCCTTTTTTTTTTTCTATTTTAGAGACAGAATCTCAATAAGTTGCTTAGGACCTTACTAAATTGCTGAGGCTGGTTTTGAACTTGTGACCCTCCTGCCTCAGCCTTCTGAGCCACTGGATTTACAGGTGTGCACTACTCAGGCCACTCTTAACCTGATGACTAGAGAAATCAACCTAGAGCACAAATCTGCCCCAACCTAAATCTCAAAACCTGTCATAATGTCCTCAAGATCTAAATTCCACAGCCTAAAATTTAATTGCATGAAGAAACTGGCACCTGCTGACCTCTTGCTCCACACCCTTGGCTGTAGTCACCATGAACACCCAGCTCCCTCGATGGAAATGTGAAGTATGTATGAAGCCTCCCCCCCACCACCACAAGCAGATCTCTGCACCTGCTATTTTGTTGGCCTTAGTCTTTTCCCATCACTTTCTGTACTCTCCATTTATCCTCTAGAACTCGGCTCTGCTGTCCACTCCTCCAAGAAGTCTTGCTGAGCTCCCTTAGCCCCATAGATCCCCCCAGCCCTGTTTACTTGTGTTGTCCCTGACTGGGGACTAGTCTGTATCCCCCACTGGACCATGAGTCTTAGAGGGCAGGGCCTGGGGCTTGGTCTTTGCAGTAACCCTAGTGAAGGTGCTTATCACATTTTTTTTTTCATTTTTAAAATTAATTAAAATTAATTCCAGTCTGGTGCAGGGGTGCACACCTGTAATCCCAGCTACATAGGAGGCTGAGGCAGGAGGATTGCAAGTTCCAGGTTAACCTGGGCAATTTAGCAAAACTGTATCTCAAAAAATAAGAAGGGCTGGGATGTAGGGATATAGCTCAGGGATACAGCACCCCTGGGTTCAAGCCTCAGTAATTAAAAATAAATAAATATTCGCTTGTTTATTCATTTACTAAGAAATTTAAGCCTGACGCAGGGGCACAAGAGGATTGCAAGTTCAAAGCTAGCCCCAGTAACTTAGGGAGAATTTCCACAACTTAGTGTCTCAAAATAAAAACTAAAAAGGGCTGGAGATGTGGCTGGGTAGTTAAGCACCCCTGGGTTCAAAAGAAACAACAACAAAAAAATTCAAGTGACCTGCCAGCCCCTCCATTGCCAGATTGCTTGTTGCCATGCAGTAAAAGAGGGCTAGGATTTTGCAGTGGGGAATCTCCACTGTATCTTTGAAAAGAGAAAATGGCAATTTTTAATTTTTATTTATTTATTTATTTTTATTTAGCTCTGGATCCAGCTCTAACCCAAAAGCAATGGTCACACAGAAACAAAGGAAACTCATCTCGAATGCAAGAGATCCAAGATTTTGTAATTCATATAATCCTGGGATCTCTGTTCGCAGCCTGAATGGTCTTCGTTTGTGGGAGGTTGGGATTTCTAAAACCTCTCCTATGGAAGGTTTTACCTGCTCAACTTTTGCTTAAGCCATTAGGCATCCGAGTTTCCAGTTTCCTTGTAAATTCCTCCCCCACCAGGACACCTCTGAAACCCATCAGCACATCAGTTCCTCACAGCTAATATTCTGCCTCCTTACTTTTCCTAATAGGAGGCACAGTCTGTGTGCATGGGAAGTCTTCCTCACTGTCCAGCCTCCTTTCATCCTGCTGTAGGAACTCTTGTGTGTGTATGTGTGTGGTCTTCCTAGCAATCTAACCTTACTTTCTCCTGCTGAAAGGAAGCCAGGTAATGGATGCCAAGAGAAAATAGACACAGAGGCCTGGTGCATGCATTTTTAAGAGATTTTTATTGGCGACAGTGCAGAACCAAAGGGGGAGGGGAGCAGTCCAGTGCCAGCCTGCCCCAGCCCCCCGGGTCAGGTGCAAAATACAAAAGATCCACAAATACAGCATGGAGTGGGGGTTGGGGAGTCAATAAATTGTGATTGGCAGGGGCAGGCCCCGCACAAAGTCTCACACTCGCACCCAGAATTCTCAATGATACAGATCGTACAAATCTACCATCCCTCAGCTTACTCACAAAAATGAAATCTCATGTCCCCAACAAACCGAGAGTCAGCAGACAGCTGGAGGATCAGGGACAGTCAGGAAAAAGACAGGTGGACATGGCCAGAGAGAGAAGACACTGTGGAAGGCCGTCAGGGACTGTCAGCACAGCCAGAGGGGCCTAGACAAGAAGGGAGACGTCTGATAGACAGCCAGACAGACGGGTTCAAAGTTTCCAGAAGCAGTCCAACTCCACGGCACGCTGGTAAATGCAGAAGCGCTCACACACTCGCACGCGCACACACACACCCATATATAATATATTTATTTATACATAATAGATATAAGTGCCTTTCGGAAACCAGGAAAGGGATAAATAGCTCGGGAGGGTCTGGGCCAGGGCCGGACGCGGGTCGGCCGTGGAATGTGTGGTCCATGCAGCACGGAGGGGGCGGGGCCACCCCCCATATTAAAAAATAGAAATTTGCCTCACGATGAAATTCCCGTGAGGTGAAGCACAAGGACAGGCGGGAGGGAGAGCCGGACCCAGATGGGCTGCAGGGGCCGGGGGAGGGGAGGGTGGCAGCCCGGCCCCTCCAAGTTGGCCAGTCCCAAAATATTGGGGGTCGGGGGCCAAAGCCTCAGCCCTTAAAACTTCTCCCGAGAATGCCGAGCCCCTCGCTCCCCTTCTGGAGAGGGAGGACGTGGGGCGCCGAGGGCAGGGAGAAGTTGGCGTCCTAGGCTGGGGAAGGAGGCAGGGCCTTCAAGAAGAAGGCCAGGGCTCGGCCCAGGGTCCTGAGGAGAGAGGCCAAGGGCGCGGATCACTGTCAGCCCCCCTCGAATCTGTCATCCCTTTGGATCTAACTCATTGTCCCGGGGAGAAGGAGGCGGTGGGGCAGGGGAGACCCAAGGAAGGCTTTGGGGGGCCGGGCTTCTGCCCGCCCGGCCTGACCCCATCGCCGGCTCATTCACAGTATACAGCAGTCCAGCAGGACGGCGGCGCAGCGCCCCCTGCTGCCGGAAACCAGAAAGGCCCAACAAGGACGGCCGGGCGGCTGGAGGAGGGGCTGGGCACAACACTGCAATGCAAAGGGGGCTGGCCACCGGCTGGGCCGGGGCCTGGGCTGGGTCCCAGGAGGCCGGAAAGTTCCATCCTGGCCAGTTTTACCGGGAGGGAGCAGCCGGACGGTCAAGGAAGAAGTTCACATTTCAGATTAGGTCTGGGGGGAAGCAGGTTTTCAGGGGGGCCATCGGCTTCCCCCTAGGGGGACTCAAATCTGCCCAGAGGAGGCTCTAACCTCGTGGAAACGTGGGGTGGATAAGCCGAGGTCGGGGTGCTGGGGGAGCAGACTGGCCAGCCCCCTCAAGGGTGGGCGTGGAAGGGCCAGGGGGAGTGTGGCGATTCCTTGTTGGGCCTCCCTGCGCGCTCCAGTCCCGCCCCGCTGCCCTCCTGCAGCGCCCTTCTCTGTCCCACGCCGGAAGTGGGCGTCTCCCCCCACCCATCCCCAGAGGTTGGATTGAAGTGACAGGACTAACAGGTATCTGGGGGTATCCATTCCCTCCCCACCCCCTGTCCCCAAAGTCACCAGCTCTCCCGCCGGCCTCGCTGGGGCACAGAAACAAGAGGCCCGCACAAAACACAAGGAGGTCCTCCTGTCCGACGGCAGTGGCGGCAGAGGGTCAGACAGAAGAGTCAGGGAGGCCACACGCCCTCTTTGTCTCTTCCCCTCTCTCCTCCTCGTCCAAATCTCTCTCCCTTGTGGGACTGTTTGTTTTGTTTGTCTAAAGAGTTCACAGAGCAAGAAGGGAGGGCGAGTTCAGGGGGTCGGAAGGCTGGTCACTGCCGCTGGTGCGTTGGGCGCTGGCGAACGCGGAGACCTCCGGGCAGGTGAGGACAAACGAGGAAGTGTACGAAGGGTTAACAACGGGGAAAGGGTCGCCGAGGACTTGAACTTCACTGTGTGTAAAGAGAGAAGCCGTCAGGTTGGGGGGTGCGTCTTGGCTGGTCTGGAAGGGCAGGGGCGGTGGTGGCGGGGGCGGCAGCAGCCAGCTGTAACCATCTTCCTTAGCGGATGCTGACCCCGGCAAATCTCTCACCTCCGCCAGCGGGCCGGGCCCGGGCCCCTCTTCGTAGGGGATCTTGCAGCCCGGTTTGTGGGCCACCAGCACAAACTCCAGACGTTCCTTCTCCTTTTGGAGCTCGGCGATCTCCGACTCCAGTTCTGCCTTTTCTTCCTCCAGCTGATCTGTCTCCTGAGGCCGCGAGGCCAGGTCAGAGGAGAGAGGGAGGAAAGAGCAAAGGTATGTCAGTGACTAGGGAAGGTGGCTCCAGACTCCCCCTAGACTTGCTGCTGAGCCTGAAGCTGCAGCTCCCGACAGAAAGGAAACCCCCTGAAACTGGAGTCCTAGTGTCCTTCAGCATAGTCTCCGTTTCCTCTTGCAAGTCTCAGTTTCCCCATGTGCCCAATGGATGGCTAGGAAAGAGGCCAGGTGCACAGGGAAGTCTCTGATGTGCAGGAAGCACTCAGAGGTTTGTTGAGTGAATAAACGATTGTTATGGGGTTTTTAATGCCATCCCTGCTGTTACCCCTTCCTCCCCAACTCCCAGGGAAGAGATCCATAGGAAAGTAGAGAATTTCCCTGGATTTCTCAAGGGGTAGCAGAGCACTCTGTAAGCATAAAGTAGGGAATTCTCAGGCTGAGATTTGGCATAGAAAGGAGTGGGTTTGGGTGAATGCCACCAGCCCAAGTTCTGGAGAACCGTGGGTAGCTGGAGCAAGAGATGGGCATTTGACATTCAGTAAAATAATTAATTTCACAGATTCTCCATAATGTTCAAAGTAAAAGGGGCCTGGAACATTTGTTGAGGGGTTGAAGAGAGGGAGAAACTGAGGCAAAAATGTTTTGCATGTCCATGACCAAATGCAGAAATGACTGGAGCTCCCCTCCAGGTGGGAAGGAGGCCAGGAGAGGGGTGCATGGGGTCATAAATCAGAGAAGCGAGGGAGTGGCCAAGAGTGGACACAATAGGTAGGGAACTCTGTGGCCAGGGCCACCCCATCTGGCCTCACTGTCCCTAGACCCATGTGTTTTCATGCCAGGATGAGGCACAGCTAGAGGCAGGGGACAGAGCCCCTCAGCACACCCTCACCGCACCCAGGTACCATCCTTACCGCCTGCAGCCGGTCAGTCAGCTCCCTCCTCCGGTTCCTACATTTAGCTGCTGCCAACTTGTTCCGTTCCCGGCGAACCCTTCGCTTCTCCTCTTCCTCTGGGGTAAGCTGAGTAGGGGAAATACAGGCCATGAGGTTTGAGGACCCAGCACATGTTCTAAATCCATGCCAAACCTCCTCTTCTTCCAGAACCCCCAAGAACCCAAACAGGACCCTCTACTAAAGCAAGAATGACAGGGTTGCTGCAGCCTTGAGGCCTTAGCAGACCACCACCCAACAGTGACAAAGTTCCTGCATCTCTTGCTTTCTCCCCCATCAGGCCAACTCCTGATGACCCATGCTCACCGTTTCCTCTCGGGGTCTCCTAGGCCGGGCTCGGGCTGGACGGACAGGCCCAGGTCCGCTTGTAGTTCCGCTGGTTGAAGGCCCGCCACTGCCACTAGCTCCGCCACTGCTGTAGCCACTCATGCCTGGTGTGGAGTAGCTGGTTCCTGGCATGTCGTAGGGGTCTACTGCCGGGGGCTGGGAAGCCAGTGGCTGTCCCTGGGACTGGGCCATGGAAGAGATGAGGGTGGGTTGCACGAGCCACTGGAGGTCCTGGCTGGTTGTGATCGCGGTGACCGTGGGCACGAAGGAACCGGGCATTTCCCCCAGACCGGCGCACTCCTACGGGGTGACACATACACACACAGGCGTAGACACACAAACAAAGACACCGACACACACACACCCAACACACATAACACACACCGACCCCGTGAGTGAGCACAGGGTGAGCGGGTGTGGATGTGTGTGTCACAGGCAAAAAGCCACAACACCCACCCTTCCACTACACCGTGACGCAGTGGTTAATGAGAGGATTTCTGCTCAACTGGCTTCTACCTCCTCCTTCTTCCTCGGGGAAAGGTTGCACGGTTCCAGCGGGTGGTGAATCACACCCCGGGTTGGTGACTCTTAGGTGTGGGGGGTGGGGAGGAGGCTGGACACAGCCGGGTGACAGAACCCCGGGACGGAGCCACAGCCACACACACAGCCACAACACCCCACCCCCACCCCAGAGGCAAGGGGAGGGAGAGGGAGAGGCCTTAGACCAAGCCTTCCTCTACACACACACACATACACACACCCCTCTGTGAGAGGTCTCCAGCAGGGGCGGGGATCCCAGTTAAAAACGGTGGTGGGGGACAGGCCTAGGAGTTAGCATCGTTTCAAGTAACTGCCTCTCCCTAGTGAGACCGTGATAGACAGGTTAAGGTAGACGGACAGGTACAGAAAAGTGACAATCGAGCTCCCTCAGACTTTCGCGGAGAGGGAAGGGTGTAGGACCCGAGCCCCCAAGCCCTAGCAGCGCTCATTGCCCACCCACCCGCAAGTGGAATCCTAGAATTGCTCTTTAGGCTGAACTACTCTCCCGGGGGGCGTGGTGAGGGACGGGCTGGCTCCCGGGCCAATCAGCGCCCTGGGAACTCAGAGGGGGCGGAGCTCCTGGAGACCACCTGCCTGGTTCCCCTCCCGCTAGCGGTTCTAGTTTTGTCTTCAGACACACTAGATGAGCCGGGTGTCCAGAGCAGAAGGAATAAAAGAGTTTCTCTGTGTGCCTGGAGACGAAGGTGACAAGCACCATATCTCCCGAAAAAACGCCGGCACACAAACAGACACTTCCTGCTTCTGAGAGCCGAGGGGCCAGATCCCCGCAAGGTCCTCTCAGACCCATTGGATCGCAGAGAAGTCGCTCTAGTCGCGACACGAGTCCCCTCGCTCTCTTCCTAGAGTTCTGTAAGAGACCCTAGCGCCGAGGAACCACGGGTTCCGGGGACACAGAGGGGGAAGGGAACTGAGCCCTACAAATAGGAAGGGAAAGTTGATTGGCCAAAGCTTGCGCTGCGGCGACCAATCGGAACGCCAGACTGCCCCCTCCCTTAGCAACGTGGCCTCGGCGTTCCAAAATAGAACGCTCCCGGGACGTCAGGGGCGGGGCGGACGAAGGGGGCGCTGCGCGCCGTGCGTGCCCCGCGTCAGACGGAGGATTCCAGCGCGTCAGCCGTTACGCACGGGTCCCCCGTTACGTATCCGCGCAGGAGGCGGAGGCAGCGTAGCTGAGGGTTCGAGACCCGCTTTCCCGACTGGATGGAGGGCGATCGGGTGTTAGAATCAGCGCTCCGAAGGAGGAGAAAAGAAGAGGAAGCTACTGGTAGCTTCCCCGGGTTTTCTCCTCTAGCGTAACTGCGCTAGCTTCAGGTTGGGGATCTAAGCCGGGGACTGTCCGGAGCCGGCTAAAAGTTCTGAGCTCTGCTGCGGCATACACGTTGCACTGACTGGAGTACACCCTCCCCCCCGCCAACACACGCCTCAAAGCTTGCCCAGCTGCATTCCCTCCCCGCGCTCCGCGCACAGGACCAGTTGCAAGTATCTCCCGATTCTTTGCAGTTTGCAAAGTGCACCGTAAGCCAACTCAGATCCTGGGTTTTGGCGCGGCTTTGATGGGTGGCGGGTGTTCGCGGCACCCTAGACTTAAAGTATAAGATCTACAAAGCAGTACCTCTATCGTCTAGGACTTACCTGGGAGGCGGCGGCGGTGGGTGGACTGCCGAAGGAGTCCACTGAAGACAGATACTGAGATTCGGCGGAGGGTGAAGAGCTGCACCGGGAGCCGGAGTCGTAGTCTCCGGGAAAAGCCTGAAACATTTCCCTGGGCACAGGGGGGGCCCTGTGACCACGCTGAGGTCGCCGGGAAGCCAAGGCTATGGCCGGGTGGGTAAGTAAGGTGCGATTCCGGGGTGAGCCGAGGCCGTCCCCAAAGTACGCTGTTCGGTGAAGCTCGGGAGGGCCTTCGTCCTGCTCCAACAGTGGCAAAGTTTCTGTGCAGTCCTTCTTAAGTGTACAGACCCCTACAGGATGCCGCTGCACCTCCTGAAAGTCCAGGTTCCGTAGGACCCAGGAGCAAGCGGGGATCGCTCCCCCAGAGGCCGAAAGCGCTGCCCGCTGTACAGAATTCGCTTCAGGTGCGGTCTCTTCCACGCGTCCGGCGGGTCTCACGGGGGAGGGGAGAAATAAAGAAGACGAAAAAAGTCGCTCCTCCAAAATAAACGAAGAAATATCTAGAAGAATTCTTCCAAAAACTTTCTTTCCGGAGAAAATAAATTTCACGATCCTCAAGAAGAAGAAACACAATAATCAACTCCCCAAGTCCAGGCTCCGCGTGTCCCTGCCGTGGCGGTAGCTCTCAGTCTTATGAATGAAGCCCAGAGCCGCCAGCCTGTATTTATATGCCCGAGACCCGCCCCCTTGCTTACGTCACTAGCTCCGCGCTTCGCAAACTTCCCAAAATTTCAGTCCGGGTTAAACAGAGCCTCGCGCTGTCCATCAAGGGGTCTTTCTTAGCTTCGACCTGCTCACCTGTATGACTTTTGGAACCTCTGGGGTCTCGGGGGCTGCGTTCCGGACCCCTCGGCGGGAGGGGATCCCGGCCCCGCCTCCCCGGAGTTCCTGTGACGCAATTAGCCATATAAGGAGCTCGGCCGCCGCAGCCGAGTGTTTGTTTGGTATCCTAGCAATGACGTCAGAGGGAATCCCTCGCTCGTTCTCGGCGCGCACCCTGTGTGCCTGCGGAACCCGCCCGCGCCTGCGCAGTGCTAAGACGCCCCGGGGGCTGGTATTAATAGGCGCTTAAATTGTCCCGGGAAGGCCGGTGCCGACCCTGGTGTGGGAGGCCCCCAACTTAAGGGTCTTCTTTACTTCTGGCGCCCCCACCCGCCCGTCTGCCGCTGATGCAGCGCCCCCACTCGATAGGAAGAGCCGATCTCCAAAAGGAGACCCTAATTAGTGTGGTGTAGCCACGTAGGCGGGGAAACTGAGTCCCAAGCGGGATTGGAAGCGCTGTGATGCTCCAGGTGAAAGTGGAGGTGGGGTTCAAGTCCCAGGGCTAGTCTCAGCTTCTGCCCTGACTCGCTGAGCTTGGGAAATGTTTCCCCTCTCTTGACCTTCAGCTGCGCTTTTCCCTGCTGAGCGAAGGGTGTGTGTTTGGGACCCGGCTGGCCTCGGGGGTCCCGCTTTTGGAAGGCATGCAGATTTGGAGTAAATAAGGATGAAACCGGGTGAAGCCTCTGGCCGATGGTGTTGGTGGCTTCTCCTTCCTGCTTTATAGACTTGTCGGGAGACAGCCAAAATGAGTGGGTGTGAAAATAATGATGATAGTAATAATAATAACAATAACAATATATTTAGCGCTTAGCAAAAACCAGATCCTCAACTAAGTCTTCCAATACTAGACGTATAATCCTTAAAACAACTTTGGAAGTTAAGGGAGAAAAAAATCTTCATTTTATAAGACAGGAAAATGATACTTAGATTAAGACCTCATTGCAAGAAATTTATTTATTTAGGTACCAGGGATTGAACCCAGGGGTGCCTAATCACTGAGCCACATGCTCCGACCTTTTTATTTTTTATTTCTATTTTTTATTTCGAGACAGGGTATGGCTAAATTGCTTAGGGCCTGGTTAAGTTGCTGAGGCTGTCTTTGATCTGGCCATCTTCCTGCCTCAGCCTCCTGAGTCACTAAGATTACAGGCCTATGCCACCGCATCTGGCTCCATTACAAGAAATTTAAACCTAGAATTATCAAATTCTGAACCACCTACTTTTTTTTTTTTAAAGAGAGAGTGAGAGAGGAGAGAGAGAATTTTAATATTTATTTTTTAGTTATCGGCAGATACAACATCTTTGTTTTGTATGTGGTGCTGAGGATAGAACCCGGGCCGCCCACATGCCAGGCGAGCGCGCTACCGCTTGAGCCACATCCCCAGCCCCCTACTTTTGTTTTTGAGACAGGTTCTCTGCTATGTTGCCCAGGCTAGCCTTGAACTCCTGTGCTCAAGAGATCTCCCTGCCATACTCTCCTCAGTAGTGGGATTATAGGTGTAAACCTAGCTCAGAGGACAGGCTGAGCACTCCAACTCTCAGTTTCCTCCCTGCCTGGGAGGATTTTTGCCACCTGCCTGGCTGAGTGAAATACCCTGAAAACCCTCTCTCTGGGGTGGACTGGTGTCATTGTAGCTTCCATCTATGGGGCATTTATAAACTTTGCAGTCAGCCAGAACCGCTTACAGTGCATAACTTGGGCTCAGAGGCAACTTACCTGAGGCAACTTGGTTAACAAATAGGGTTCAAGAATCTAACTAAAGTATTTCCCATGCCAGAGTCCCCAACTCTGAGGCACCATTAAGAAGGGTACCACCAGCTGCTGCCCCAGGGACCCTGGCACTCCCAGTGCACTGCCTGGCCCGATCCTGGGCACCGATGGAGAAGCACCTTAAATATGTTGACTCTCATAGTCTCAGAGAGGAGAAATGCCTGGCTCAGGGCCACACAGCATTTTTTTTTTTTTTTTTTTTTTTTTGGTACTGGGGATTGAACTCAGGGGCACTTGACCACTGAGCCACATCCCCAGCCCTATTTTATATTTTATTTAGAGACAGGGTCTCACTGAGTTGCTTAGCGCCTCGCTGTTGCTGAGGCTGGGTTTGAACATGCAATCCTCCTGCCTCAGCCTCCCCAGCTGCTAGGATAACAGGCATGCACCACTGTGCCTGGCCACACAACAGTTCTGATACCAAACAGGAGGAAGGAGTGGTTCCTAATTCCCAGGAGAGTCTTAATTCCTGGGAGAGGAGACCCGGAGCTATAGAAGGCTAGAAGGACATGAGGTGGTGATAAGGGTGGTTAGGATTTCCAGACTAAAGCCTAGTCTCACCTGGTTCCCCCACGCCCCCTCTGTCTGCTACCAGTCCGGAAGGGGAGACAGGGACTAGGAGATGACACAGCAGCCACCAACAGGCAATGACTCGGCACTGGCATCAGACAGGGAGTGACCCCTTACTGTCCCAAGCCCCTCATCTTCTCTTCCATGGAATAAAGGAAATGCAAATCCTTACTTTGGCTGCCCAAGACCTTCACACCCAGCACAGGCAGCGTGTAACTTCCACGAAGCCATTGCTGTGAGTACTCACAGTCCACAGGGCCACAAGGGCACTCGGACATCTGCCCACAAGCAGCCACACACATCATCACAGATACTGTTTCACAGGCACACCCGTATGTAGAACACACTGTCACGTGGCGACGAATACCCGACATGTGTCCAAACACACAGGAGACAAATTCAGATGACAGGGACAGGGATGGACCCCAAAACACCCGGGGACTGCTAAGCCTTACTGCAGATGCACAGGGATACATATGTTCACACACACCACAAGCACCACCTGCAAGAGCCGAGATCATGGCGACACACAAACATTCAGGCCAAGTGCTACGCATCCTGAGCAGGGTGCAATGGCCCACACCTGTAATCCCAGACTTGGGAGGCTGAGACAGAAGGATCTCAAGTTCAAGGTCAAAATGAAAAATAAAAAGGGCTGGGGATGGGGCTCAGTGGTTAAATGGCCCCAGGTCAATCCTCAGTCCCCCCTTCCAAAAATAATATACATCCGGCAGAAGCACCCAAGCAAATGGTTCAACAATTACAAGAGCCAATTCTTCTCAAGTGCTTTTATTCACCCCCTGAATTCTCATAACACTGATCGGAGGGAAGCAAGGAAACAGAAGCCCAGAGAGGTAAGGTCACTGACCTGCAGTCACAAAGCAAGTGCCTGATAGAGCTGGGCTAAGCATGCAGGGTGTGGGGCTCCAGAGTCTGTGCTTTGCACTATTGTTCACACTAAGATGTGGAAATGGAGGGGTTTGCATGCCTCACACTCACACACTCACACAGACACTGGGCATTTACTTCTGCCCCTCAAAAACCTGGAAGCCAGGTAGCCTCAGCTCACATTTTGGCTTTACCACTTCAAAGCTGGGTGAACTTGAGCTTGTGACATCTGGAGCCTGTTTTCCTGTCTGGGAAAGGAAGACAGAAATAGTCCCCAGTTTATGGGGCTGGTGGGGGATTCCGTGAGGTTTCTGGCATAGTGCGTGTGCTTATTTTGTTATTAAGATGAAGTCATCCTGGCCAGCATAGTGGCCTATAATCCCAGTGACTCAGGAGGCTGAGGCAGGAGGATCAGAAGCTTGAGGCCAGCCTCAGTAATTTAGTGAGACACTAGTTTAGAGCTTAAAAAAAAAGTCATCCTGACTTTAAAAAAATTGGGGGTGGTAGATACTGGGGATTTAAGCAGTAGTGCTTTACCACTGAGCCACAACTCCATCCCTTTTAATTTTTTATTCTGAGACAGGATCTCGCTAAGTTGCCTAGGGTCTCACTAAGTTGCTAAGGTTGGCCTTGAACTTGCAGTCCTCCTGTTTCAGCCTCCTGAGTTGCCACTGCACCCAGCTCGTTCTGATTTTTACACACGTGAACCTCGTCCATTTTTGTGGGCCACTTATGTCGGTCTGGGCCCTAGGCACTGTGCCATGTCCAAGGGAAAAGGCAGCTCTGAAGACTTAACACACAGCGTCACTCAAAAGCCCACGCGCATGCACACACCACAGCATACACACCTGCTCTTCAGAGTGAGAAGCAGAAAAGTCAAGTTCAACTCCACGGGCTCAGTCCTAGGAAGTTTCCAGGAGAAGGAAGACTTGAGTGAGCGGAGAGGCAGGATCCCTGTGGGGCTTGACCCCACTCTGGCCCCATGAGTAGCTTATTGTCATCCTCTTTGTACAGAGGCACAGGGACATCAAGCCTGGGGGCAGCACTTCACGACTCCTCGTGCCATCATGAATCACCTGGAGATCTGGAGTGGTCATCTTCCCCAAGCCCCTGCGGTGCCCAAGCGACAGGGCCCCTCTTGTGGGGAGCAAGACTGTGGACCTTTCTGGGGCATGAGAAGAGCCATGTGCCCAGGCATGCATGTGTGGCCTGTCTTCTATGCCCTGCCTGCCCCCTCTGAGGGCCCCTGGGCCGATTTCCTACCTACGGCCTCCTCAGGGCCCAGGGTCCAATAGAGGATGGTGCTGGCTGGGCAGCTCCCCTGGGCCTGGAAGCCTCCCGGAGCGGGTGTTAGTGGAGCTTCAGGCCCTGATTGGGGACTCCTAGGTGGACCCTCCAGTAGCCCATCATTCTGCATTTGGACTCCTCACGGCAGCCCAGGAAGCCTGGCGAGAGCCGCAGGTGCCGGCCGCCCAGCTTCATGTCTCCTGCTCCACTTCCCGCGCCAGTCTGCCAGTCGCCCTGGTCTTTGGCCTCTTCCCAGGGCGCCCGTCCGTCCTCTGCCTCCTCTGGCTCTCTGCTCCTCCAGCCCGCCCTCCAGGAAGCCCTCCTGATCCTG